TGTTGTTGTTGCTGTTGCTGTGGCTGTAGTTGTTGGGCCATATATAACACACAGTTGGCTGAATATTCAGCTGTCCAACTTGACTCTTCCGTCTGATAACAGAGCTAACGACTTTGGTTTCGTTTCGTTTTGTTTAGCTTTGATTTTTTTCGTAGTATTTTTTGCTTTTTACATTTTGCGCCACGCACAATTGTCTGCAACTTTTTTCTTTCAATATATATATATGTACTTATTTTTTTCAACATTTTCACGGCTTGTAAATTTTGTAATTCAAATTTCCGTTGCCTCATTTGCGCTTCCTATGTGCATTGCACACGTCTTGGCTGGGCTAATTGTCGTGGGTACGACGAAAGACAATGAAAAGTACAAAAAGTAAGCTCAAAATCCAAAACCAAATTCGAATACAATTGAGGGCTGTCTCTTCTTCTTTTTCTTTTGGCTGTTTGAAGAGGCCAATTGGAATTGTTTTTGAAATTTGTAAACGCTTATAAATTGTTATGCAATGATTGAATATTTCAATTTGTATTTCGTCTGTTGCTTTTGGTTATTTTTCGGGCACTTGTTAACTGCGTGGATCATTTTTATTTTTATTTTTTTTTATTTTTGAGAGAAAGGCATTTCATATGTGATCGCCCACCTAGGCATTAAATGTGCCTAATAATAAGTGTGGTGCTGCTTCAGCTCGAATAAATGGCAAATCAACCTTCAAAACGTGCTCAATTGCCAAATAAATTGAGAGACAACAAATTGAATGCTTAATATTTTTTTAATTTTTCACTATTAACGTGAACATCTGTGCAACATTCCAATATTTGTTATGTATGCAGCGTGTGTATGTGTGTGTGTATGTGTTAAGTTATGCCATTCCATGCGTTGCCATCTTGACATCTTCCCATAACATTTGGCCTGTCCATGCAGCTGCATTCCCTCTGCCATTGCCTCACAGCTGAAGCCTAACTCCACAATATATATATATTTAAACATATATATTTATATCTATGCGACAATTAATCTTCGGCTTATGCACTTTTTGCATTCGCGTCTCTAAAACCATCTAATCGCAACTGGTTTTCACACTTGTGTAATTTAAAGTATTTCCTTTTTTGCATTGCATCGAATGCAGTTTTTTATTTGTGCATCACGACTTCTTAAACATTCATTGGCTGCTTTATAAATTGCTACGAGATTTTTTATTGAACCAGTTGGCTAATTTGGCTGCCGAATTATCGAAAACTCATAAAATGTAGTTGAGTGTGTGAGACGACTGCAAATATTTTCAATTGATTGAATTTTCAGCTTATATCTAAAGCTCATGTTTACATGTTATTTCATTAGTCTTTTGAGATATTTCGACAAAAAATAATTAATTATTTTCATGGTTGAGAAAATTTGATTAGGAAGTGTTAAGGCTATGGTTATATATTTTATAATCGAAAAAAATATAATTAAATATATTTATATATGTATATTTATAATAAATTTAATTGCATATTGAAAAATTTGTTTTGGTATAAATGTATATAATTATATATTTTATAAAAAAAAATATTTATATACATTTATATAAATATATTTTATTATTATGTTTATTTTATTATTTTGTAATTTAATTTTTAATTAATAGCAGCTCTGTTCAGGTACGTTGAGTAATTTGGAAATGGAATCAGTGAAGATTAAGCTAGCAATCATTCACAGTTTTGACGAACAAAATTTGACAGCAATTTTTGATGAAGTGCCAGGTCATCTTCGACATAGCCCCATTTATCAGAAACCTGCGCGCTGTGAACAAAACAGTCAATCAGTCTGCCAATCAGTCAGTGAGCCAACTGATCACTCAATCAAGCCATCAGTCATAGACATCATCTGTCAGTCATCTCATGTTTGCCCACAATATGAGCAAATTGAATATACTAATAAGTAATATACTTATTTTTAAATACATTAATAAAATATACAAAAATTGTTTGTAAAATATAAAATATATTCAAAAGTCCAGAATGTAATGAAAATAAAAAATAATAAATAAAATAAACAAATATAAATGAAAGTAATGACAATGAAAAATAAAATATTTGTAAAAACTTTAAAGCGTAAAATACTCTTTAATGAAAACAAAGCCTTAGACATACTGTCAAAAAATCTCAGACTGGAAAAAATTAGCTAAAAAGTTACAAATCTATAACTAAAATCATTGGCTGCTGCATCAGTGCAATGAAAGCTGTTTCATTAATTAGAAATCAATCTAAACTCAAATCGTACATCTCATTTGAGCTGGGAGAGAAATCTGTCGACAATCAGGCAGAGTGGGTTTATGCGTTTGTTTGGCTAGCATTGAGCCGTATGTAGAACACAGAGAGGCGAGACAAGTTTTTTG